TGACGAGTAAAAAGGCACAGTCCCGATGTTATGAAGCCACACGGCAGGCCATTAAGTCCATTTTAAGTCCCAATGTTGGCAGAGCATGACAGGCTGCTGAGCAACGACATGGCTACACGCAGGGTCCAAGCGTGCCATAGGCTGGAGACCATTCCCAAAGCTGCTGCTTATATGCGGGAAGCAGACCACATCCCTAAGGCAGCTACTCAGCTGCTCCCAGTAGATCCCACCATGGAGTTGATCAACTGTCTCATCATGGAGAATACTACATCAGCTGCCCAGCCACTCAACCAGGCCTAACCAAGTTGACACAAAAATAGAACCACCACAAGTGGTAAGACCCCGCACCTTGTCAAAGTTAGAAAACTTTGAGGCCCCGAAAAACAAGGCAGTCCCGTCCACTTACAGCTTACACAGGTGTCACTGAACACACAGAGAAATAGCTGCCTCCCCTCTAAGGAAATACCTGTGTAAGACCTCAGTGTCGACTGATACATTGTTACAGTACTTCTGCTGGCCAGGTAGGGCTGGTGCCACAGTGGCTGTGTATGGGAAGGTAAGTTTTCATCCTGTTTTTGTTTGTGTTAAGCTCATTGCAGGGTTCGCTTACATATTCTATAATTTCTTTTAGGAACTGGGATTACAGCATTTGCGGTATTCCTGTGGGAAGGCAATTGCACATTCCCAGGCACTGCGAGTTGCTCGGTGGTGGGTGGGAAGTGATTACTGAGTATGATGTCAGATACGTTACCTCTACGACACAGACACAGAAGAGGTTTGTAAAATAGATCTAATGCAAACTCAGTGGCCAGTGAAGTGAGAAGGTGTCACCAAAAACGACCAAACAACTCTTTGATAGCTGTGGAACAGTACATGTTTGTGGAAGTTCTCTTTACTTAGACGGAATGGTTAAGTGTCAGTGACTCTTGGTGGGTCTGTTGGGTAAGAGGAGTATTCTCTTTAGAACGTTCTTAACAGCAGGGCAAAGGGAGTGGGAATATCTCTTGTGCGTGGAGCTTGTTTGCTGTGCGTTGTAACTGCATTTAACCTCCTGTCTCCCCCTCCCTCCTGTCTCGCATGCTTTCCTTCTTAACCCTGGACATCAGGAGCAAAAGCGTGTAGATGGCACGACCCGCGAGGTGAAAAAAGTTAGAAAAGCCAGAAACAGGCGGCAGGAGTGGAATATGATGGCGTATGACAAAGAGCTTAGACCCGACAACAGGCTGTCTCAGAGTGCACACCACGGCGCGTCTTCCGAGGGATCCTTGTCCCCAGACACTAGGTGTGTGTGCATGATGGCTTCTTGCCCCCGGTGCGCCAGGTGGGCCACCGGTTTTGTTACCAGTTGCAAATACAGCTGTCACTCTGGTGTTTATATGCTCACAGTGTTCCTGAATCTTCATCCAAAATTACTCGTCTGTATTTGGATTTTGCGATAATCCTTGAAAGCAGTTCTATTTGACCTTGGGAAACTTTGTGTGACTTCTGATCCCTCCAACTTAAATGACTTCAGTTCATCTATGAGGTGTTGGAGCATCGAGTCTGAATTTGAGCCAGTGAATTGCAATTTTATTTTAATAATCATTGAACTCTTTCCTTTTATCTTCAGCTTGGATGGTTGACTTTTCATTACCACTCGGTACCTAAACATGATTGGTAGGTGGTAATTAACATGATAAAGAAATGACTGCATTGTTCTTTCTGATAACGCGTTCCAAAACTCACAAAAACAAAAGAGATTGATTTCTTTCTATAATATTATGTGTTTTCATTTCAAGAGAAGAATTCTGTCGGGCTTTATGTAAAAAGTATTTTTTTTGTCAATTAAGTAAAAATTTTTCCCGCAGGTGTGAACAATGCGGTCACCAAGTCTCATTAACACAAAAGGTATTCACGACAGGGACTGTGTCGTCAGTTTGAAACTGATGGTTTCATTTCCTGTTTCTTCGTGTGTAAAGTTGTGGTCGTCCATTCACAGAAATTTTTCTAAGTCTTTGAATAGAGAATTTTTACAACGCATAGTGTTTCAAAACCAGCCACGATCTGGAGTTGAGCGATACCCATGTCCTTTTTGTCCTTTTCCAGTTGTAACCACGTTTCATGCAGCCTCTGACACAGAGACTTAGGGAAATATGAAAGAGGCCTAGGAAATATTTGCTGAATGAAAGACTTATTTGGTGGTTACAATGCCCTTAAATATTCCTACCCCAGAGTCTACAAGCTATTGATAAGACTGTGAGGCAAGTTCTAGGTCAGTTTTCCTGTCCAAGCTGTTTGTTACCTGTTAAATATGACAGAACCAGTGGAGCTTTACTTGAGTTCTAGCCTCAAGTTTAAATTTCAGTGGCAGCTTATTTCTGCGCGAAGTGATTTCTATACAATTCTGCTCAGTTTTGATTTTTTTATTTCCTATGGGAAGGTGGGGATAACTTGAATTTTGTTTCTCAGTTTGCCAGCTTAATTTTTTTCTAACTAATTTGTGATTGTTTGCTCATGCAAAACATATACTTTGACCCCATCTGTGCTCTTTTATTTTAACAGGTTCCACATGAAAAAAATGATGGAGTGTTTTCTTCTTGTAGTGAGATGATTGACGTACATTCTAACGTGAGATTAGAGTGTTCCACACTGGGAATAAAATGGATTGATGGTCGTTCAGATGTTTTAGTATTCTGCCTTTGCATTTATATTGTTTAGAGATGTGTTCATTTCTCTTATTTTTCAAAGAAACAAATGGAATTATGTTTTATTCTTCAGAATTAATGTTATATTATTTCTCATGGCCTCCAAAAATATGTATGTTGTTATGGGCTATCAAGTCAATTTCCACTCATAGTGACTCCACGTGACTGAGTAGAACTGCCCTATAAGGTTTCTCAGGCTATAATCTTTACAGGAGCGGATGGCCAGGTCTTTTCTCTTGAAGAGAACTGGAGGGTTCGAACCACCAACCTTGAGGATAGCAACTGAGCTCTCTCTCTCTCTCTCTCTAAAACCAAACTCACTGCCGTGGAGTTGGTTCTGACTCATAGCGACCCCTCCTTGGGTTTCTGAGGCAGTATCTCTATGGAAGTAGATTGCCCAGTCTTCCTTCCAAGGAGTGGCTGTTGGGTTTGAACTGCCAGCCTTCTGGTTAGCAGTCAAGTGCCTTAGGCACTACACCACCAGAGCGCCTATGTACATATATAATTTTCTACCAGATAGATTATAATTCATAATTGTACATAGAGTCCATCCCTTAAATTAATTGAAATATTTTTAATTTTACTAAAATATGTCAGTTTTTCTTGTTTTAAAATAACACGTTTATTATATTTGGAGTTACAGGGAAAAAAAAAAAAACCATCATCCTGCTACCCAGAGGAAAGCACTCTTCGTATTTTAGTCTCTAGTGAGAGAGGGACCTGGAGGGAATGTCTTGTTTTTCCGCCTTTGACAAATGCAGTTTTACCACTTTCCTGTCACTCTCTGTGAGTGGAAAATACTTGCATTTTCCTTCTCTGCCAGTTTTCTGCTTTACCCAGGTTCCTGCTTCCACATTTTCACTTTTATTTTTTTGTCTTGTTTATACATACATATATATGTTTTATCTTTTATAAAATTGGAATCATGCATTGTTTTCTGTCTTATGACTTTTATTATTCAGAAATACAATTTTGAATGGGTGCAATCTCATCTCGATATATTAAAGGTAACTTTGAAGGCAATTAAATACCAAGTTTGATGGTCTTGCTTACATTCTAACGCAGTCTATCCAAAGTAACCGTAAAGTTTTGATCTCTAAAGACTGGGTTGTTTCTAAGCATTAGTTTTAAGATGGGAATCGAGGCAGTACTAGTGCCCCATAAAATCAGCTCTTTCTGCCACCACGCAGGCCTTGTAACGTGGCTCCGCCCAGCTGCGTAATGTGGCTCCGCCCAGCTGCCCCTGTCTCCTTACCCTGCCTTATCCAGCTGCCATTCTCGCTTCCAAGGAACATTCTGACTGCACGTCCTATAATTTTTATGGGAGTAAACTGTCAGATCTTTTCCTGTGGTGCCGCTGTGGGTTCGAACTGCTGACCTTTACATTGACAACCAAGTGTCACACCACCAGGATTCCCATACTTAGATTGACGGTATTTTAAAAATGTGAATACTCAAAATTCTGATGCCATGTGTTTGACTGTATGTGTGTGGCTGTATGTCACTGACTACCTACAAAACTTTTTAAAGGAAACTAAGTCATCTAGCAAAAAGTGGAGTATTTCTGATGAAACGAGGTTGTCAATGTAAAGGTCAGCAGTTCGAACCCACAGCGGCACCACAGGAAAAGATCTGACAGTCTACTCCCATAAAAATTATAGGACGGGCAGTCAGAATGTTCCTTGGAAGCGAGAATGGCCAGACTTCATCTCACTTACTTTGGTCATGTTGTCAGAAGGGACCATTCCTTGGAGAAGGATATCATGCTGGGTAAAGTGGAGGGTCAGCGGAAAAGCAGAAGGCCCTCAATGAGATGGACTGACACAGTGGCTGCAATGATGGGCTCAAGTATAGCAAGGATTGTAAAGGTGGCACACGACTGGGCAGTGTTTTATTCTGTTGTACACAGGGTCACTATGAGTCAGAGCCAACTTGATAGTACCTAACAGCAACAACAAGAACACCCTATCAGACAGTTCTGCTCTGTCACATGGGGTCACTACAAGTCAGAATTAGGACACCTAACAACAACAAAAATCTAAACATAGGCTGAGTTCTTTCCGTATGAAAACTATTTCTAATCCTTTTGTTAGTAGTTTTTTCAGTTTGAGAAACATACTCATGTGCACACCATAATCTAGAATTTATAGGGTGATGAAAGTGGTCACAGAAGTCTCTTCTCATTGACAAAGCCTTTTGGTGCCCTGTGACCCTCCCGTCCAGGAAAGCTCATGTGTGAGTTCACAGTGTGTGAAATTCAGCATGTGCCCTCCTTGCTCCCCCTACACCCCAGCATGTTTTTGCCTGTTTCTTCAGAGAGAGAAACACAAGCTGAATCCCAACAGAATCCAGCAGATAAATGTGAGAAAAGTGAGAACAAGAAAAGAAGAGTGGGAGAGGAGGAAAATGGGGATTGAGTTTATGAGTGACACCAGGACGCTGGAGCAGGCAGGGAGCGTGAAAGAGGACAGAATGCCCAAAGGGTTTGTCATTTTGCTTTCTTTGGATCCCAGCCTCACGCTGCCTTCCTCGCTTCAGTCACCACAAGAGGACACGCTTCCCCTTTACTGACCACTGTGCCCTATAACCTGGTGTCAGGGCTACTGTGCACTGTCTGTTACTAATGCCACACCATTCTGCAGCTTCAAGGACAAAAGGCTCCCCTCTTTCCCTTGCTCAGGCTTCCCTGACATCCCCACTGTGAGCTGTGATGGTGTCGTTAGGAACTCTGTGTGCAACTAATGTCACATTTTCCCTCCTTTCAGATTTTTATACCCAGCTGCGTATGCAAAGGAAACAGGAAAGCTTTAACATCTCACATCACATGGCTTCTTCCCCTTTGGATTAAATACCTTTCTCCCGTTTAAGAAAAATACAATTCACCGTATTGCATTCTTGGCTTCTTTTTTTCTTATTACTGTGAATATTTATCCAGTTCACCTGTCACTTTATAATTTATAATTACAGGCTGTCAGTTTCATTGTCACTGAGATCTCAGGTCTGTCTTAGATGCTGTTTTTTATATTACATGGAATTTATCTGGTTGCCTTCTACATTAGAAAGTATGTGGAAATACTGTGAAAACAGGGCCCTGCTCCCTCCTGCTTGCCAGCCTGTCTGACTTCTTCACTCTAAAGCTGTGAATCTGAATCCATGTAACACTGGGGCTTGCTGCTAAAGTCGTAATTACCTTGTTGCTCTGGGGCTTTCATGGGGCTATACCTAGTTGATAATAAAGGGAAATTCTGATTTCTGTGCATTCACAGTATTGTTATTCAAACGTGCATAATCTCCGTTAGGGAAGAATTTTTTTAGCTTAATTTTAAGCTTCTTCCACCCGTTTTCTGGCATTTTAGATCTCATGCCTCGGATGTCACGGATTACTCCTATCCGGCCACGCCAAACCATTCTCTGCAGCCTCAGCCAGCGACGCCTTCTTATGCAGCTGGTGATGGGCCTCCACATGGGACAGCCAGCCAGGCCCCTGAGCATGAGTTCAGACCGCCCTCTGCCTCGGCCAGACACATGACCCTCAACAGACCACAGCAGCCACCCCCACCACCCCCACCGCAAGCTGCAGATGGGTCTCAGGCCCCCGCAGACTATGGGTGAGTTGGTGTTCCTTGCATTCAGATTCGCCATCATGTTTGGATCTTGGTGTGATCCAAGTGGGGCCTGAGTGGGGCAGGTGGTTCATGCACTTGGCTGCTAACTGAAAGGTTGAGGGTTCGAGTCCACCCAGTTTCCTAGAAGAGAGGCCTCTTTTCAAAATACCAGCCATTGAAAACTCTACGGAGTGCAGTTCTACTTTGACACACATAGGGTCTCTGTGAGCTGGAGTTGACTTGATGTCAGTGCTTCTTTCGTTTTAATGTGTGGTGTGAGAATTTTAATAATAACTTGGTACTTTGGAGACCAGCCTGCAACCAAAGTTACCAGATAGAGATGCTATTATTTATAATTCTGTGCTATAGAGAGTAGATGCGGTATCATGTGTTGTTGTTGTTAGGTGCCGTCGAGGCATCTCTGACTCATAGCAGCCTCACCTACAACAGAACAAAACACTGCCCGGTCCTGCGCCAGCCTCACAGTCCCTGCTATACCTGAGCCCATCATTGCAGCCACTGTGTCAGTCCATCTCATTGAGGGCCTTCCCCTTTTTCAGTGACCCTCCACTTTACCAAGCATGACATCCTTCTCCTGGGAATGACCCCAGTGTTTCAGAGCTACTCATGGTGTTTTCCAGTAACGCATCAGACAGTGATTCACTGCCGTTCACTTGTCTCTCAGTCTTTCATCCTGTGGTAACTTGTGTGTTGCTGGAGGCTGGAGGCTATGCCACCAGTATTTCAGATACCAGCAGGGGTATCTGTGGCGAACAGGTTTCAGTGGGGCTTCCAGACTAAGACAGACTTGGATAAAGCAAGGGGCTGTCCACTGCTCAAAGAATTGGCCAGTGAAAACCAGTGTGATGGAGCTCCCCCCCTTTTATTATTAATAATAATGCTCAAAATTATATCTGCATTCATGTATACACATTCTGTTTACATATCTACTTATTCACAAGTACTTTAATGGATCGTTAAGCCAAGACACAGACAAAGGATAAAGTGGCTATCTGTGAACCAGCCCCAAGCCCTCCAGTTTCTTACATACACCAGGTGGACCACAGACAATTCTTCCCACATGTGAGGAAACTCTGCAGCTCTGCTCTCCCCGTATGTCACTTCTTACATTCGGCTTTATCATCACTGTCCTTGACCTTCCAGCACCCAGCCGTTGATTCTGTCACCAAGTCACACACACGTCAAGTTGTTCTCTGTCGTACAGGTGGAATCCCAACACCTCCTACAGAAGACCCTCACTCCCAGGTGTCTCTCTGTCAATTTAGACACCCAGCCTTATTTTGATGGGCCATCTTTAGCACTGTTGTGGCTTTACCCCAGTCTTGGAAGGGTGGCTCCTAGAGTCAGTGCCCATGGAAGCTGACTATATGCCTCCATGAACAGAGGTTGTCTTCAACCCAGAAGCAAGGCGGATTGCTTTCCCTCCCATCGCACCAGTCCTGGGCACTTGGTTGGTCCTCGTTAAGTCAGAGCACCTTGGATTGTGGTCTGTGACTATTACCAAGTGTCAGGCAGAGGGAGTGGGTCCCTGGGCACTGGTCCAGTTGGCTTGGCAAGCCCTCACTGACGTAGAACTCAGCCATTCTCTTGGCCGTAGGACATTTCAAAACCCTTAATATCCTACTGGGCATTGTGGGCATGGGGAACGTCCATGAGGGAAGGGAGAGAGCGTGTGGAATTTTCCAAAGTTGCTTGACTACACAACCCTTGGGAGACACGGTTATGAGCCGCCCAGTTTCAGAGACACTCAATACAATGGACGCTTTGGGTTGCCTTTCTTCTGTCTTCCCTGGGAGCTCTGGTGGTGTAGTGCCTCAGGCATTTGATTGGGAAGACTGGGCATTCGACTTCCGAAGTGATACCGCCTCGGAAACCCGAGGAGGGGTCTCTGTGAGTCGGAATCATCTCCACAGCAGTGAGTTTGGTTTTTCCCTTCCCTTGGTAGTAAACTGCTTTATTCTAGTGTTCCACAGATCATGGTTTTACTTGGTAAGAGATCGCTTTCTGGTGCATTCAGGATCACAGATTCCATTGCAAAGGATTAAAAAAAAAAAAAAAAGCCTCACTGCTATCCACTCCATTCCAACTCATAGCAACTCACTTTGGGTTTCCTAGGTGGTAAATCTCTGGTAGCATAGTGCCTAAGGCACTTGACTGCTCACCAGAAGGCTGGCGGTTCAAACCCACCAGCCACTCCTCGGAAGGAAGATTGG